TCTGAGAAATTATTTCTGATTTCATTTTTTCCAGATCCTCTTTTGTTGCCAGTTCAGGGAGTCCAGGTGGTTGAGTATCAGATTGTTCCATATCATTTCCATTTGGGATTGCTTTAGGTGATCTGGAAGTCTGGTTTTGAGACTTGTTTTCATTTCAAGGCAGGGGGGATGGGGTTGCTGCTGGAGCCTGCGCTGCTCACCTCCTCAGTGCTAGGTGGGGCTCTGCTCCTCTACACTGGGGTCAGTAGTACTGCAGCCTGAAAGGCTCAGTTGCTTGGTGCCAGGGGCCTCTCCCTATGTTTGTTTCTTAAAGTCCTTATATTTAGAAAGTGAGGAATATACCATGTGATTTACATATATAACCCTTATTTGCATAAAGTTAAAGCTGGCAATACTATGTAGGTTCTGAAGTCAGGGAGGGAATTTCACTGGTTTTAGTGAAAACTGCAAATGGGGTGAACTGTGAGTGTCAGGGACCCTGGACACCCGGGCACACAGGCCAGCAGCTCTGTCTGACAGCTACAAATTGAGCTGAACTGTGATCTTTAAGATCTCTTCAAGTGTGAATGTTCTACACCTTTCGATTCCACATAAGGAAACACTGGAGTTTAGTCTAGGATCTCGCCAGTGTCTTCTGTGAGATGCACCTCGAGATGCACCGTGGTGCTCAGTGTGGGTCTGAGGAGCCCTGCTTGGCAATGGATCTTCAGAATGACCTCTTCCCAAGCTCATCTCTTCTCTTCAAATGACATGTGAATAAACTTCCCATTCCTTTGAGCTCACCACATCCATGGTTTATCACAATGGCAGCAGAAAGCTGTTGATCTTGGTGGAGGAGAGAATTCCCAGCACAGTCACTGTCCAGAGCCACTTCCCCTCAGTGGGGATGGCATGTGTGCATGAGACCTGGCAGGTGGCCAGCTCTCCTCTGGCCTCGGTCCCTCTGCTCTGCACTGCTCTGTGACCCACCTGCTAGCCAGATGCCACTTTCAGATTAAAGGACACAGACAAAAATGAGTCCAAACAGTTTTCCTATGGTTACTGCCAGGGTTTGGATAAGGTTTGGGTCTGTCCCACAAAGGGTCCCATGCTAGAAGCTTGGTCCCCTGCACAGTGACACTGGAGGTAAAGGAGGTCAGCAGTGGGCCATAGTAGGAGGTAACTAGGTCACTGGGTGCTGCCATCAGAAGGGGTTAGTGTAGCTCTCGCAGAGTGAGTTATTCTCATGAGAATGGGGCTATCACAGACACATGGCTCCCTCTGCACATGGCTAGCTTCCTTTTCATTCTTGGCCATATTGAGATGCAGTCAGAGCCCAGTCAGGGGCCATGCTGTTTAGACCCTCAGGCCACTAGAAAGATGGTCAAGCAAACCTCTTTTCTTTGTAAACTGTCTAGTCTCAGCTATTTTGTTATAGGAACAAATAATGGATCTAATACAATCGCCCTTAGCTACACCACAGGATATAGCATAAAATACAGGCATGCTTAATCTCTCAGGGACCCCATTTCATCAGCTGCTATGATGGTAGCATAGATAACATGTGAAGAACTCCAGTAGTAGGGTAAATGATCATTAGATGTTGGTTTCCTTCTGCTCTGCAGAGTTGTATGTGTACCTGTGTGTTCCTTTCATTGCTCCTATTTACCTGTAATCACCTCAATCACCTACAAACTTTTGGTGGATGAATTTGTTTTTCATTCATCAGTGATTTCCCCTCTGTTTCATTCATCTTTTATGCATAGTCTGGCATACTGCATCACACATAGGAGGGTTTCACTAAATATTTGCCAAATGAATGGAAAAAAAATAAGTTAAATTTGGGGCATACCATGATTGAAATATTTTAGGGCTGGAGTCTTTTATTAAAATTTGTCAGCAAAAATGCTGTGGGGGACCCTTTTTTGCTGCTATAGTTTAAAGTGTCCCCTCTCCACACCACAAGAAGGTGAACATTTTTGGCTGTCTGTCTAATAGAAGAAGAGAACCCAGTGGAATTTTCCAGGCTGGCAACTTTAGGGAACTACTAATATTTTTACAATATATGATATTAAAAACATTTGTATGTGTGCCCAGAAACCTTTAAGGCAAGGATTTCAGCAGCCAATTTTATTTGACTTGAGAAATCTAATAAACAAGCAATACAGCCCTGCTATTGTTCTTTAAGTAAAAATTAGAGATCTGCATTTAATAGCAGCAAAACAAAAACATCTCAGGGCAAAGGAGTGTGTTGTGTCGCCACGGAGGTGTCAGTCAAGTGGGTACTGGGGGGGGGGGCTCCAGAGGGGCCCTGGTGTTTGGCTGGATGACAACTTAGTTAAATGCCACCAAGCAAAGGCTGGTGAGAGAGAATGCAAGTGACCAACCATCATTTTTCTTCTCTCCTGGAGGAGCCTCATGCGAATTGCACAAGCAGCTGAAAATTCAAGTGTGATTCGCAAAATGTGTTAAAGTCTTCATCCCATAAACGATTCAGCAGTTCAGGAAATGAAGCTCAATGAAAAAAATTTGAAAGTATCAGTTACGGATGTGAGGTGAACACAGCGTCTGAGGTTTGTAGCCCTCGGGGGCGGGGGCTACAGATCCACGGGCTGCAGAGGGTGGGCGGCTTGGGACAGGTGGCCTTCTCACCTCTGGCTTCCTTCCCCGCCTCTGCCCTGGGGTGAGGGGATTAGAGGGGGCGCAGCTGCAGCTGCAGGGGTGACAGGCTGGACGGTGAGGCGAGTTAGAGACTAGAAACAGGCAACCAGTGTACTTACTGCTCGCTTGGAAGCGACGAGTTTCTCGACATGGCCTTTGGAGACAGGTCATAGTCGCTGTCTGATCTGTAGAGAAAGGACTCTCGGCGCTGGCTGTGCCCGGGAAAGGTGGCGTGGAGCACCAGCCCCGAGGACGAGCTGGCCTGGGGGTCCAGCGGGCTCCGACCAGGGGAAGGGCCATTTTCCACATCAAAGCTGAAAGAGAAAGCAGGACACTCCGGTCACGTGAAAGTCACAGGGGAGGAGGCCATGCGTGGCAGGTCCATCAGGCTGGAGACTTCACCAACAGTTGTGACCCTCAAAGCGGTTCCAAGCTGCTGTCACTATTCCCATTTTGTGTATAGGAAGCCAAGTCACACACAGTCGTCTGCCCAGGTCCCCTACCTGTCAACAGTGACCCAGAAGGTGAACCCTAGCCCCCAGAGTATTGTGAGACATGGAGCTGTCAGGCCAGGACAGTCTTGCTGCCCGAGTGAATGTCACAGCCTCGCTAAGACTCAGTGCATATTTCTAAGTGTTTCGGGAACAAAATGTTATCCTGACAACATGCACTATTTGATTAGATGGGGCCTGAGATTTCATATTCATGTGCAAGTTTAGCTTGCAGAAAGTGACTTAATCGATCTGATAAAGGCAGATTCCCCTTCAGGGCTGCTCTGGGAGGAGGAGGCCCTAGCAGGCTCTGGTGGGGCCAAAGCGAGACTACTGGCGCCTCCCTCACACCGAGTAGGTGCTCTCGAGCCCAGATTTGCTTGGTGGGCTTCTTTCCTGCTCTTCCTTGCCCCTCCTGCCCTTTCACTCCATCTCTGTCCCTTTTGCAAAACAGCCACCTTCCCCTTACCTATCATCTGTCTTTTAGTTTGCTCTTTAATTTATTCATATTTAGGGCTTCTCCTGTAAGAGAAACCATGTGATATTTAATATGAAGCTCGTGTCTCTGATTTATTCCCACCTAACATTATGGCCCCAGGTGCAGCCATTTTCCTACAAATGACTTCAGTGAGTTTTCCTTCCTTATGAGCCCACAATTATTTGAACAAGCTCTGACCAATGAATGTACAGACAGAAGCAGTAGCAGTTCTGTCTGTTGTTTTCTCTCCCTATCCTGGTATTTCCTTCGGCACTGTGTGCCGCCCATGTTCTCCTTTATGGGTTCAAATGCATTTTTCTTGTATATTCGACCCCCTTTGGCCTTCAGGGGACAGCAAGTTGGACCCAAGCTGGACCCAAGCACTTCTCTGTATGACACACTGCTCCCCAGCTAACACCTGAAGAGGGATGTGGGGCTCGGATAGCACCTTTCCAACTTGGACCTCAATAGCTAGCTTCCTTCAGAATCCAGCTGCCATCATTTTTTCTATGTTTTTTGTTCCTTTCTTTCACTAATTCTGACAATGCAGTTCTCTTTGGGTGGGTTTTGCTTACAGTTCTTCATTTTGCAAAGAGCTTTCTAATGTATTACTTCATTTAATCCTAAAAAGCCTGTGACGTAGATAATATGATTCTACTCTACACTTGAGGTACATAGGACTTAAGAACATACAGATGCCTTGCTTATAGTAACAGGCTAGAATAGGAGCTCCCCCGCTCCCTCCTCCATGGGGGAAATGCTCTAAGACCTCACTGACACACAGAGGGTGACAAATCCTATATATAATACATTCCCCCTAGAGATACATATCTATGACATTGGTTAATTTATAAAGTAGGCATGGTAAGAGATTAATAGCAAATACTAATAAACTAGGATAACTTTTACAATATACTCAAATTATTTTAAACTTATGAACTAGTTACTTCTGGAATTTTCCACTTAATATTTTTGAACCATGGCTGACTGCAGAGACAGAAACTGAGCAAAGTGAAACCACAGATACGGGGTGCAGGAGGGATCAATTATAATCTGTAGATAGGGCAATGGAAGACCAAAGTCCTCCAACTTGTTTATTCACATTTTTGGATTTCTCTAATCACAGAGTTCCAGAATTGGCCACGGGACAGTGGAGTGTGATTTCCTTTCATTCTCTGGACTAAAAAAAAATGCTCTTGATCAGGACTTGGAAAGCTGAGGCAGGAGGATCACTGAGCAAGTCTGGGCTGCATAACGAGATCAAGACCAGCCTGAACTACATGTTGAGACTTTGTCTCAAAAAACCAAAAGCCAAACCAAAACAAAACAACCAAAAAACCCCCAAAAAACCAAAAAGCCCATCAGACAACCTGCACACTCCAGGAGTCTGATAAAAAGTAGCAAGCAAAACCCTTTTGAGTAAAAGGATGAAGACTATGGATGAGCATGAGGGCTGAGCCAGGGTGTATTTGGGCTCTCAAGAGGCAAGCATGGATTTTCCCAGCAGGCAGTGGTCTGGGGGCAGCAGGCGGGGAGCCCCCCCATCACAGCTCAGCAGCAGCAGGCCTAGGGGTGGTCACCATCTCCACACAGGCTACAGGAAGTGAAAGACAATGAAGCCAACTTGCAGAGCTGAGCAACATAAAAAACTGCCCTGTGGAGGCTGTAGAATCTGCAAGTCCAAAGATGGGGAGAGGCCTTCAGCAAAATGATGGTGGGCCCCAGCTCGGAAGCTGATGTGTGTTCATGTTGCCACTTATCTGGTACGCGTCCGCACAGCCTGCTGGGTATTAAAACAACTAACTACTTTTAAAACAGCTGGCACCCAGCCCCTGTCCCCAGACCCTGCAGGATGGGCTGGAGTTAGTGGCAATCCAGTTACCAGAGGGCTGGCATGTGGAACAGCAGGCGACCTTCAGCCCCAGCCCGTGGCCTGGGTCCACCTCACTGGTCAGTGCTCATGTGGGTACCAGCCGTGAAACGCTACGGATGTTGCTCCTGTGGGTATCTGCGCCAAAGGCTCAGCAGAGATGCCAAGTGGCTGAGCCCACACAGCTCTCGGGGCTTTCTCCATGCTGGCTTCCACCAGGGCTGGCTCTGCCCTCTTTTCTGCTGGAGCCAATCCTGCTGTGCAGAGGGTGAGTCCACAAAGCATTTCCCTGGGCAGTAAGTGTCCCAGCACCTCCTGTCCCTCATGCTCATTAGCATCCAGAAGTTCTACTCTGCCAGGTAAGTGAGGGCTAGACCCAGACACTCAAACCCTCTCCACGCCATTCCTCTTTGGATGGGTTTTCTGGTTCCCCTACTCTGCCTAATCTCATAGCAGGCTTGCTGGAATTTGGAGGAAGCCAGGGAAGAATTCCCTGGTGTAAAGAAGCAGTCTTAGTGAGACAAATGGCCTTTCATATTCCCTGGGGCACTGTTTCAAAGCAACCAACACAGATGCGAAGCTCTGGAACAAACATGAATCACCAACCAGACACCAGCCCCAGTGACAGCAGAATTAGCAGGCCGACATCACAATCCGTCCCACAGACCCAGCGGGGAGGGGGGTGGTGTGTTGAGGGAAAAGGGATGATGGAGACAGACTTAACAAGCAAAGTGAACACACCCCAAAAACAGAAATAGAATTAGGAGGAACGGCGGGTCTGCAACAGCGGGAGCAAGCACACAAATACGGTCATGATTTATGTAAGGTAATTTTGCCCCTGCCTTAATCAGGACTCACATTTCACCTTTAGGCTTCTTGAGATTAAAGCACTGTGGAAGTAATATAAAATGTTACATAAAACTTAGACAAGAGAGAAAAGAATAGCATCACTGCTACCAGTTTAGAATTTTTCCATCTGATTTTTTTTTCCTGCAGCTTCAGATCCTGATTTTTTTTCACAAGGTTTTACCTTTCTAGAATTAATCCTTTTTCTCAGGCTCCTTAATAGCTCATCCAGTCATTGTACCAAAATTTCCTTAACTTTTTTTTTTTTTACCATTCTATGCACGACCTAGTAGGGTTGCAGTTGGTATCTTTCATTTTGCAGTTACTTCAAAGTTTAGCTGAAGCCATGGAGGAGTTTCAGAAAGAGTGAGAGAGGATGTCCCTTACATGTTTCAGAATATCTGACATGGCCATATGCAGCGTGATGCAGAACTAAGGTGAATGTTTAATTTTTTTTAAATAATGACATTAAAAGACACATTTTCATGAATTCCCTCAAAGTACTCCCTTCACTTCAAAGATACTTATTCTATCAGTCTTGCCACTCTCTGGGCAGTTCTTCAAGTCTTCTCTCCCACGAGTTTCACTGTCCCAGCTGCCTCGATTCCTGAACCAGTTCAAAATGTTTCCCTTCCATGGTCATTTTGAGTTAGGGAAAGGGCCAGAAGTCGCCAGATCTGGTGAATAAGGTGGATGAGGACACAGCGTCATGGTTTTTTTACAAGTTGCCTTTCTGTTGGAGCCCAGCAGCCGGAGTCACCATATTTTTGATCACACCTCATAAAGGCATTCACAAAACAGGACTTTTAGAACTGCTTCAGAAAGTGACAAGAACACGGGGATAAGTGTATCTGGATCAAGGGGAAGAGTTGAGGGTGACTCACGGCAATTCTTCTTTTACTCATTCGTTTTAAGTTTTTCTAAAATATCGCCATATTTCTCGGTCGCAGCTCATCTGCCCGCCTGGAGCGGGGCGCTCACGTCCAGCGTGCGCACAGAAACAGTGCTGACCACGGCCTTTCTTCTGGACCAGCGAGCCCTCCCTGCAGCCCCAGCTTTCTGGCTTGCGGGACTGCCTGCGGCCTGCTCACCTGGACCTGCCTCTCGGCCGACCTTCCTGTTGCAGGTCTGATTTGACGTTTTCACCGCTGTACCCCGCGCTGTGTCTGCCCCTCTCTGGTCCTGGGGTGGGGGTGGCATGGGATGGCACACGTGAGACACGGAGGTGCCCTTCCCCCCACTGCCCCCACAGGACACTGGCTTCTCCTCGGCTCGGGCCACCTCCAGTGACGCGGGAGCCCCCTGTGGCCTTAGGAGCTCAGGCAGTAGAGCACCCTGCATTCCCTTAGCTCCACGACCCCTGAGCTATCGAAATCCACGGGCAGGGAAGTTCAAGCCCCTTACATAAAACAGCATGGAGGTGACGTAGAACCCCACAGACCCCCACCCCGCCAGCAACTCCTCTCTAGATCATTATGATGCCTCGTGCGACGTCACCACTGGGTAAACAGCTGGTTTGCTGAGTTCCGGAGGGAATGGTGGTATCAGAACATCTGTACAAGTGCCAGACAGACACAATTTGTTTCTCAGATAGTCTCTCTCTGGGACTGACCACCTCCACAGCCAAGAAGCGCAGGCCCAGCGCACTTCACACCGCACCTGTGCTCTTCTGTCCAGCTCTCCAATCTATCTATCTGGCCACTTCCCACAAAGCTGTTGCCCTCAGGCAATAATATTATTCATTTTTGTGTTGCAGGCATTTGTAGCAGAGCCCTGTGACTAGCAGGTCTTCAAAAGGTCATCCAAACGGATTCAAGAAATCCTAAGACACTGGGAATGTTTTTCTTCTGTCCTTTCCCTCTGACTCTAGGACATAGATTTCTCCTGTTTCCTTCAAACGAGTCTGTAGAGATGTGGCTTTAATTTCTTTGATGAGGCATGTGAGACAATGATCTACAAATTCAATATTTCCTTTTAAAAACGCATAGCTGTGTTTTCCCTGAGCAAAACAGACTTGCATAGAAAAGTCACCAGCTTAGATGGCTGAACCCGTGACGTTGTCGCAGAGACCCCGTAAGTAAAAAGTCCTCTCACCAGCATCTGTTTGCCCTCACCTCACCTGTGTTTCTATAAAGGGGGCATCCCCGCCCCACGCCTCTCTCCTGGAGGCCTCCACTACCCCAGAGCCTGGGGCGCTGGTGCTGGGTGGGGACAGGAGCAGCCAGCAGATGGCAGGAGACCGCTGCTGCTTCCTCGAGGCTCCCAGCTTCGGTCTGAGCCTGTGGAGCAGCTCAGAGACTGGACCCAGGCTTTTTCATCAGCCTGGAAGGAAGACTGAGGGCTACAGAACCGATCCTCAAGGAGCACATGAAATCTTTGATTAAACTGAGAGAAGGTTACTTCTGAGAATTCTAGCGAAGCCAGGTGGTTGCAGAATTGCCTGCAGTTGTCCCCGGCGTGGTTGTTTCCTGACCCACAATTAGTTCCACAAACCCCAGTTCCTGGAACAAAGACACATGGAGCAATATTCCAGGAAGAACTCAATTCTGAATCAGTGGGCATTTTTCTTTCTCAAGTCAGCATTCTCCAGATGAGCCTCGCTGGCTTATCCTGACCAACGGTCTGCCTGGAAAGACCGCAGACCCCAGGAAAGAGGTTTACACTCAAGGGTCCAGCTAACAGCTTCCTGCCTTTTGAGGAAGAGAACTCTGCTGTCCTGAATTTGCCTTCTTTCTCAGAAACCAGTCACTGGACATCCTCTTCATCACTGAATTCTCCCTACAACTCTGGTAGGCCAATTCTCTTCGACTAGTTTCAAAGAGGAAAAAATTAGGCTCTACATGAAGCTTCACTTGAGAAATCTGAGTGTGTGACCCCTTTGTGTCATACCCTGCTGTCTGCACCCAGGGTCCTTCCTGCACCCCATGAGCCCTGCTCCATGAAGGACAGACTGACAGGAAACAGACTCCCTGTGCCCCGTCCCTCACTGCTCAGTCTCTTACCACTCAGATGAAGCTGTGGGGTAGAAGACCTCTGAGTGCCTCCAAGATGAGGCGTCACATTGGCCTCTCGGAGGACAAAAAGATTGGTTTTGTGTTAATGGTGATGATCATTCACTCATTCAAAAATAATTTACTGAGCACCCACTAGGAAACAAGGCATCGCTGTTGGCCTGAGACTGTAGCAATGTGCCAGACAGGAAGGGTCCATGGGCAAAGGATGGGCAGTAGGCAGTCCAATAAGACACGTTCAGATGAAGGGGTTGGCCACAGAAAAAGAAAAGGAAACATAAGGGTACGGTAGACACAGACTCAGAGGAGAGTCTGCTTTAGTCTGCGTGGTCAGCAGGCCCCCCCGACAGAGCCCCATGGCTGCCTCCTGCCCACACTGGGCTGCACAGCTCGCCTTTCTTGGGGGATGGCGTTTGGGTTGAGATCGGATAAGGCTATGGCCAAGGTTGCCCTCTCATTCTTTCTTGTCTTCATTCCTACACCCCCTTTCAACCACGAATTGGGTCAGATGATGCTTGGAATTTAGTACCAATTACTGTATTAAACGAATGACCTAATTTTCTCTATGCTTGAGCTTCTTTCTGAGCTGAGTCAGTTGTCCTACGATAATATATAGTTACAGTTGTTATTTGTAAGTATATATAAGTATACATTATTACTATATTAGTATACATCAATACCGATATATACCTTATCATATATAAGTATACATTAACAACTAAAACAATAATTATAGTTATTATAGTTACTGATATGGTTGCAGCCATATTAACATCTAGGTATTTCTGTACATGGGTAGACACCTAGTCCTAGCATAACACCTGTCCTGCACATTGTTAGTTCCCTAGTCTTCCCTCAGTGGGCTGTGTTTCTAAAGACACAGAATACCTTTTCCCTATTTTTTACCTTCCTTGCCTGTCAAGCTGTAGGTACTTAATAGATGTCTGATGAACAAACAAATGAAAGAATGAATGGCTTAGGGCCAAGGATGTTCCACAAACTCCCCTTCGTATCTATTACAGCACCCATGGCTCCTCCAATGAGGACTGTGAGTAGTGTGGGGAAACTGAGTCATGCCTTGCTCCCAGCTTTAGCCAGCCATGCAAAGCTATCCCCACAAGGCAGGACCAGGGTTTTGCTACTAAAACCACCTCTTCCATGGAACACCCACCCAAAGGAGAAGGCCAGCGAGCACATGGTGGCAGCAGCGCTTCCATCCCCTGGTGTGGATGGTGGGAGAGAGGGAGAGAGCACAAAAATTCCTCTCCATGGTCCTTTGGCAGGAAGCTTTCTTTTGCTGAGGACTTTTATTGCAAACTGTTTCAATTATCACTCGAGATTCTTTTTGAGGCTAGACACATTTCACCGAAGAAATAGGAGAACTGAAAAATTAATGCCAACACACATTTTTTCTAGTGAGATTGTAAGATAGAGGCCATTTTTAAAGAGTTTGTTTCAAATGCTCAGGAGTATATTTTGTTATAATCCATAATAACTTCACTTTGTGCTATTCTTATGTCATACTATTTAACCCACAAGAAAAACAAGACCCGATGCAAATAACCCTACCTCATAATCACAAGACCATTTTTTCTAGCAAATTTACAAAATGTCCTATCTAGTTCCAAGTTAGAAATAAGAATTTATAATGTGAGTGCAAATTTCTTTCTCTTTTCTAATTATGGCTGAAATTTCACAGGGCTCCTCTCAAACCTTCACTCAGTAAAATCCGCTAAGGAACATGACAACTCTGAACAGTAGGAGTCATTTTCTACAGCACAGTCATTCTCAGGAAAGATGGAGCCCCATGAGGGGACACGCTTTTCAGGAAGATCAGACAGAGGGTGTGGGGACAACATTGTGTGTACCCAGGATGCACTGTGGGTATACGGATCACCCTACTAGACCAATACGTTTCACACTACATTCTCTACTTTTTAAAAGAAATTGTAGGAAACATTCAAATGCTCTCTTAACAAGATATAAATACTCCAGTTTCTGAGTGAGGTATTCTTGCCAATAACAAAATCAATTAATTAAATAAAATATTTATGGGGAAGTAATGGTGCCAGCTTTCAGGAGCTCAAGGGTAATTAGGGAAATGAAATTAATCTGGGAAAACTAGCTCTTTCTCAACCGGAGACAGCTTCAAGACGTTACTGCTTTTGTAAAGTCTCACACATCATCTGGAAGTCATCTCCAGGAAGGAGCTGGAAACCAGTACCTGAAGTAATGCAGCGAAATGGTCTGGTAGCCTCTGTTTGTGTACCTCAGTGACGGGGAACATGTTAACCCCAAGAGGCAGTGAATTTCAGTTTGGGATTGGTTTAATTCTTTATGACTTGGGTCAGGAAACTGCTCTTCTTCTAGCCCACTTCCCTGTCCTCATACACTTATTGGCCTATTATTCGCCCATTGTCCTCCTGTGTCAAGGTAGCCGCCTCCTACTCAGTTAGACCAAACAGAATAATCCCTAATTTTATTTCCTTTCTCGGGCTGTCCATCCGACATGGGAACCATACACTTCTCGAAGGCCACCACAGCTTTGGGGCGCTCAGATCCTCATGGGAACGGAGGCCCTAAATGATCTCCCTGCACCCTCTCCCCACCGCAGCCTGTCCTTCAAACGCTTCTCCAATGACAGAAAGACCCATCTTTCAACACAAACGTAAAATCATGACGGTGCACTTGGAAGACCATCCAAACTTCCCCACGGATGGCGAATCTCTTGAGCCTCCTCTCTGGCCTCTGCTCAGTGTGCCGGGGTGGCTCTGTATTTTCGAAAGCTGGCACGTCTTTTCTTTACCAGCCCCGGGTCCTGCACATGCGTGCCCTGTTCACTGGTGATTTCTGTGTTCCTAACACACCCCAGTGCCCAGACATGGCTGAGTGAGTATCTCTCCAAAGAATGAATAAATGCTGGCTTCCCCACTTGTTTTCTCTTCTGTTCTTTGCATGGCTGCCTAATTATTCTTTAAGGGTTGGGTTAAGTCACTATTAAAAACTTTTCTCTGCCACTAACTAATAGGTCACGTGTCTTTGGAGGACCTATACCAGCTTTTTGCTACATTTGTGGTCCCTCTTAAAGTTGTCTTCCTTTTTCCTAAGACTTTAAGCCCTGTGATGGCCACCTGGGACATGCCGCTAGTTCGGAACAAACGTCTGTTGGATGAATTAGTACAGGCACAGGAGCCTGTGTGGGTATAATAAACACCACCACTACCACCATCAGGGGTCAAAGTGGACCTGCTTATTCATGTTTTTAAAAAGTATTTCTTCAAGGGCTGGGGACATAACTCACTGGTTGAGTGCTTACCCAGCATGCACAAAGCCCTGGGTTCCATCCCCAGCACCACAGAGGAAAAAGGGGAGGGGAGAAAGAGAAGAAAATAATAAGCATTTCTTCCTTCAAAGAGGGAATTATTTATTTCCTAACTTTGGGCCAACTTCCATACCAATTCTAAGGAAACTCAAATTTAAAATATCAGTTGATGTAAAAACCTGTCCCAGGTTTGAAGTATTTTTTGTGGTTATTACTCTGAGGTGATTTCAGAAAATGAGACTGGTTTTCAGATCAAATTTCATAAGTCATCAGCTTTCAGGAGATGAATTTCCACTCTTGGGTTTGTAAAATGCCATTACTTACTGTTTTAAGAATTTTGTACTCTATATTCTCTGGAGAACAAATAGGCCATCTATCTCCCTTGTGGTTGAGGTGGAAGGACAGGAGGGAGTAACTCAAATAATAACCATAAAATTGGAAATCAATGCCTCAGCCTCCGGCCTACATAGCTCTTAACAGTGTTTGCGTCAGTCCACATCTGGCCTCCAAATGTTATCGGTCGTGAACACCACACCTGCAGACAGCCTGGCATTTGGATTTCAAATATGCTTTTGGCGGGGGGGGGGGAGAAAGTGAGGTGGGAAACTGAGATCCCAGAGGGTTTTCTTCTTCACATAGACAGTAAAGCACGGGACAGCTCTGCATCTTTTCCTCAGTGGTATCAAGCACATGGTCTGTGTCAGGCCAAGTGCAAGCATTTGGAACACAGTGCCTCATTTCACTGTGCTAATCACTTTGAGGAAGGAAGGAACTTGTTTTTATGGACGTGGAAACTGAAGTTTGAGGGTTTCAGTAACTCATTGACAAGCACTCTACCCACTATTTAGTGGTAATCCTGGATTGAAACCTAGTTTGATTGGATACACTAACAAATGGATCAACTGTAAACATCTGTTCTTCTCTCTAGCTACTCCAGATCGATTTCCATGATTTTGCTGCAGCTGCTTTCTTCTGAACCCTGCCCTTCCTCTTCCCTGTGGATTTTACTACTACAGAACAGCACTGTCTCCACATCCTCATTTTCCACATGGCGCCTGAGCAACTGTGCAGACTTATATCTAAAGCACACCAACCCTTGAACAAAAATAATCACGTAGACTTTCCTCAGACCCATGAAGTTGGAAGGTCTCATCACCAGCAAAACTGAAATCCAAGAAATGTTAAAGAAAATCCTTCAGGCAAAAGAAAAATAATGCCAAGTGGAAATCTGGGTCCACACAAAGGAATATTTATTGTTTCTTTTCATTGAAATCTCTTTAAAAGATGACTGACTGAGAAGTAGACATTAATTGTGTATTATGAAGTTCCTAACATGTGAAAGTAAATCACAAGACAAGGACACAAAGGCAAAGATGGGTGAAATGAAGTATACTGTGCAAAGATTCTTATTCTATACATAAAGTAGTGTAATAATGCCTGAAGGTAGTCTGCAGAAAAGATCTAAAGTAAACATTAACATCATTTAAACAGAGTTAAAGTAAATAAGCAAACAAAAGAAAGAAAACGGAGGCATGAAACAATTAGCCAAACACAGTGCAAAAAAGAGAAAAAAGTATATCATGAACTTCTAGCCTATACTAAATTTGGCCTGAGTTGGCCACCATATTTCGAACCCTTACAGAATAATCTGCAATCCAATTCAGTACACACTAACTTTAAGAGTGCACTTTCGTGATATCTCCTCAGTCAGTGACAGGCTGCTCAGGTGAAGAGGGCTGCCAGGCCTGCAAATAAGACAAATGCCCAGTGGTGGCCAATCAAGCCGCTATTCTTCTCTTTCATTTCTGCCCATAAATACTGCCTGTCCCAGTGGTGAAGTGAAGCTCTCAGAGCTCTCTGGTTCAAGGATTTGCAACAATATAACTGTTTAATTTAATTTGTGTAAAGTTTTTCTTTTTAACAGAACAGATAAAATAAGCAGGAAACAACAGCACAGTAGATTTAAACCTGGCTGTCGCAAGAATCTCTTTAAATGGCAATGGTCTAAACACAATAATTAAGAGGCAGATATTTTCAAGATGGACAAAAATGTGTGTTCCAACTCTAGTGTGCTTCTAAGAGACCACTCTAAATATATAAAGATGCAAGTAGGTTAAAGAGAAAGGAATGGGGAATATATATCATGATGGCACTAATCAAAAGAAATCCAGAGTGGCTGTATTTATAGCCTGCTTGTTAGCAGATTTCAGAGCCAAAATTATT